TAAAATATTTCCAGAAATGACGGGTGCCGAGCATAATTCCCGGGACTTCCGTCGACAGTTCTATTGCTTTCTGGACTTCAGGAAAATCGGCAACTTTAGTAGGCATTTCGGCTACCCAGTTGGCCATTTCGAATGAAGTGCTTATCTCTTTAGTCCAATTAAGCTCTACTTCCTCCCATTCGCCGTCCTCTCGTTGGATAGAAATAGCATAGGACGGGGAACGAATTCTAATCGGATCGCGTAACGTCCCGCCAAAGCCGTGAACTTCAACATCGTCACGGGCAATTTGGGGAGGACGTAACTGTTTCACTAATGACTTTACAATGTAGCTTAACTGGCTCCCTGGATCGAAAAACACAAATGCAGGGATTTCCTTGTTTGGCTCTCTAGGTGAGGCAATCGCAATCTTTCTTGTCATAAGATATGCGGTTGGTTTTTTGCGAAGATGGGAATAAGCCATTGCGGTAATTGATTTCTCTGGTTGTACTTTCTCGTTGTCGATTGAAGGTTCTGTCAAATTTGAACCTGTGGCGGGACCTTTTTCCGAGGACGCGGCCATTTGGGTAAATTGCTTTTGTGGTTTCTGTTTATTTCCTTGACGATAATTTGCTTGAGGCCCTTTATTTTCTCGGCCTTTCGTACAGACTAACATGTGGTGACCGCCCTGGCATTGTCCACATATTTTAAAGGAGTGGCAATCCCTAGAGGTGTGACCTTCATTTAGGCAACGAACACATCGGTTCTGCGCCCTTAGGCGCCGAAAGCGATCTTGCGGAGTGGGATATTTCGGGCATTGTGACGGAAGATGGCCGACAATATCGCACAATGAACAACGGCGCGGTCCTCTAAACGGACGGCGGTTTTCTTGTCTGAACTGGGAAGGTGCCCCGAAAGAGCGCGTTAATTCCGGCGGTCTTCCCTTCTGGGCTACCTTGTTCCTTTGGACGGGAGGATTATTTATTTCCTGCCGGACTCTGGTTACGGTAGAGCATCGTTGTACTTCCTCTTTGATCTCGACAATTTCGCGCAGCTCCTTTCTGAGCTGGGCACAGTTCCAGCGATTTCCAGAACCACGCTCTTTCTCAACTAGCCTTGCAACGATTTGCTGTGGTAACTTAGATTTAATAGCGGTCGAGACGAACGGGGACGAATCCACGTGCCCATACGCCTCGAGCTGGCGACAAATGCGTTCTATGTTGTCGACAAATCCGCGGAGAGAATAGGTGCTCTCATTGGCTGGATGCAGATTCATTAGCTCGGCTTCTAAAGCCTCGGTAATGGCTCTGCTGTCTCCATACCGGGATTTAAGCAAATCGAGAGCTCGCGTATAGTTCTCGTTCGAAAGAACGAAACCCGCGACTAACTCCTTAGCAGGGCCCTGGAGGAAGGTAAGCAAGTAACTCATCTTCCTGATATTATCCATAGGGCGCTGGTCAATGTTGGCAGAAAATAACTGCCAGAAGGTTGGCCACTTCTTGGGATCCCCATTAAAAGGATCCAAACGAAGTTCAGGCAACCTAATATCTGGCTGAAAATGACTTACATGTCGCTGATTGAACTCCTGGTTGACTTGTTGATACTGCTGTTGATTAGGTTGCTGATTGGCTTGCTGATAAGGTTGTTGATTAAATTGATGATTGACTTGCTGATGTGGTTGTTGATTAAATTGCTGGTTGATTTGCTCGCTGTGAACTGACTGATGTTCAAGAACAGACTGGTGCTGATCTTGTTGTTCTGTTTCGGTTAAGGTTTGTCGTGACCCTTGACTTGCTTGACTGCTCGCCTCATCAGGTTCGGCGAGGAGATACTCAATTTCGTTGAGGACTCCCCTAGCTTGTTCTGCAATCTCCATGAAATGCAGTTGTCCGACTTGTACTCCCTCTCCTGCTGCGGGAGGAGGGAAATCCCGGTAGGTTCGCTCCTCGGCCTCCAGAGATTCTCCCTCGAGCCGGTCGATGAGGTTCGACCATTTCTCGTTCAGGTCGTCGACACGGCTCAGGGTACGACCGAGGTGATGGTGCTCACCTCGGAGTTGTACAAGGTCCCGCTCGGCGCCAGCTCTCAATAGCTCGGTGGCGGCGGCGAGATGATCCTTGAGGGCCTTAAGTGCCGGTCCTAATTGGCTTCTGATTGGACCGGATGAAGGCATGATGATTCTCGAACTTGATAGGCTAAAGCAGAATTAAAGGCCAAGTTTGGGCTTTAAAACTGGTTAGGTTGGAAAAAATATAAAAATATTTTTAAGTTGATAAAAAGTGGAAAGTTAGCACTTTTTGTTTATTTTTAGTAAAAATGTGAAAGAATGTGACTGCCCGTGCAAGCAGTGACAAAAGAAAGGAAAAAGAGCGATGTCCCGTGAAAAGGGACGAGCAATCGCTTTTGTAATTTGTGTAGTGGCTGGCTAGAGCCAAAAATGTAAAATGTGCAGCCAATAGGAAAGTTGACTGCAGGTGGTTATTTTTGCCACTTAGGGGGCAAAAAACTAGTGATCGCCTGAAAAGGGGAAAAGTCACTAGAAAAAACAATGGGCAACAAAAGTTGGCCAAAGTTAAAGAAAAATGTGCAGTCAATGGAAAGGTTGACTGCTGATGTTGATTTTGCCGCTTTGGGGGCAAAAAACTAGTGTCTGCCTGAATAGAGCAAAGACACCAGAAAAAATGTATTGGGCAACGAAAAGTTGGCCAAAGTACAGTGACGGCCAAACAATGGCTGCAACACTGACTGGAATGTATTTGGCGGGTAATCGGCCAAATAAATGTAAAGGCCCGGCTTGGGGCAAAAGATCACCGGGCAATAGGTATGAAATTGGCCGGATAAGGTAAAATTGGCAGGCTATTGGCCAATTAGAGTGACGGCCCTGCACGGGGCGGCAGATCACTTAAAAATGTGTTGTGGCCCGGCTTGGGGCGATGGTAAAGCAGAACAACTAAAAAGTTGGTCTGGTTTCTCTAGGAGTACGGGGGCAGTGCGATTGGACTGCCAGGACCCGTACGGGGCTCCAAATTTAATGTGCTGAAAGTATAGGTGCACAATACCTCGAAAACTCAACTTGAGGAGGGACAGGAGGAATTCGATCAGAACGAATCGCTCCTTAGTTTTTATGGTCGACGGAGATATCCAATCTCCAGAAAACGAGTCCCTAAGTAAAACACAAACGAAACACAAAACACAATTAAAAAATATTTATTTAATCAAAATAATATTATAATTGAAGTGCCTCGGGGGAATATAAGCCGAGCACAATTTTGGGGCTGCAGGTCAACAAAGCAGGCCCTTGTGGTCTTTAAAATATATTAAAATGCGAGCAAGTTAAAAAGGTTGGTTGGAATTGATTGGCAGGGCTCAAAAAGCGCTGGCAATCAAAAAGCAAGCAAGTGAAGAATGAATTACCAAACAAGTGATTAAAAGGAAGTTGGCCAAAGCATTAAATAGGGGACAAAAAATGGGCGGTAGAAAAATGTGAAATAGAAAAAAGTAAATTGTGAAAATGTGTTTTGGAGCGGGGAGAGATAAATAAATATTAAAATATAGATTAATAAAATAAATTGGGATTTAAAGTGCCCTTTTGGGCACAATATATAATATCTAAACAAAAATTTGTTCCAGATGATGGTACTTATCAGGTGTGGCGTTAGTCTCGTCTCGTGTCTCTTATTTAGTAGGACTTACGCCACCCCTGGTATCACTAATTATTGTGATCATAATTTTGATACATTTATAAAAATAAATTTTATTTTTTAATAAATTACTTATGTACAAGCAAATACATAAATTACTTTTATGCAAAAAAAGAAAGGTGAGAAAAATAAAAATAAAGTTTCCATAACAATTTTTATACATTAATGGTAAAGAAATACCATTCGCTAGTCAAAACGAGATTTCGACTTTTATCTCGATACTTGTAATTTTCTAGTAAATTTAAATCTATAAATTTACTTATGATCCAAAATTTTTATCCAGCGTTCAGAAACGAATAAAAACGAAATAGAAAAAATTTTTATTTCGGCCATCCTTGACCCTAAAAGCTAAATGAATACAAATAATTTAAATAATTAAATAAAAATCCCCAAAAATTTTTCAATTTTTTTATAATTTTTTATTCACAACTTCATTTACCAATGACCTCAGAAATCTTTTCGAGAAAAATAATTTTCTTTGGCCCATTTTCTTCCAAATCAATTAAAATTTTTGTTCGAAGTTCATTAATTGTTTTTTGATAAATATTGCTTAAGATGAAAAGATTAGATGTTTCTAGGATAAATTTTTCTAATTATTTATCTCCTTACTTCTCGATCAACATTTTGTTTAAAGCACTTTCCATGTCAGAACCAAAAACTTCACTGTTTACTTCATTCTCGTTAGATTTATACAATTTTATATAAATTCCAATCCCCAAATGTTCAACCAGAGAAGAAAGGTAAAACTGATCGCCATAGGTTGGAATACAAATTAAAGGAACACCGGCATATATTGCCTATAAATAATTAATTTCTTGAATTAAAAATACATACTATACGGATAGGGTTGTCGGTTTCAAACCGAACCGAACCGAAAAACCGAAGATTTTCGGTTCGGTTTGTCGGTTCGGTTAACCGAAGAATTTGGTGAAACCGACAATAGTATATACGGATGTCTATTTATATTGTTGTTTTCTGCAAATTTCTTAAAATTTTAAATAAAATAAAGTCAAGAAATTATTAAATTATTAGAAAAAATTTTAAGACAAACAAAAAATACCTCGGTCAAACTATTTTGTCCACAATGAGAAATAAACAATTTTGTATTGTCTTTGGCTGGAAAATTAAAATCAAATTGGAGTAAAAGTGTCGAATATGGCTACCAAACAAAAATACTTAATCCATATGTCGGCTCGATAGTTTAGACTAATGTTTCCAAAAAACAACTTTAGACCTAGACACAGGTCCCAGCAAATTAAAAACCCATAGGGGGTCCAAGCTAATTTTGGTATCAAAAATTCTAAAAAGTCGAATGAACCAAAATCATCTTGATCCGATATTTTGAACAAGATCAATTTTCCAAATTATAAGAATTAATAAATATATTTTACATAAAATCTCTTTCTGTGGAAGCATTTCATCCGTCACTTTAATAATGTTGTCATTATAATTTTCTGGAACAAATCTATGCAAACGAACTTTAAACAAACAATTGCCATATTTTTCAAATTCTTCAAACATTCTTGATATACTTTTAAGATCCAATAGTCCGGTTAAATTAACAGTTCCAAATGTAAACAAAACAACGCATTTAGGCTTTGAATTTATATTTAACTGCTTTTTAAGAGACTTATAGGTGGTTTTTGTCGCTTCAAATATTATACGAGAAAAGAGAAGATCCCCGAGTCGACCCCCGGGGATCGTTTTCAGACTCTTGAAAATTGGAAACCATAGAAGGACAAGCTGATTTTGGGATGAAAAATGAATGCGCAAATAATATTTAGCTATTCGAAAGTTTCATCGAGCTGAGTTAAATAACGAATAAATTGTTCAAAATTACCTCATTATCATTTGCTTTCACCTTTTCTTTAATCAAGACTTCATTTTGCTCGACAACAATTCCCCCAATATAAAAAATATTTTCTATGACAGGAAATTCTTTGAACTTTGCATGAAAAGGTTGATTGAGAAAATGAAGTTTAATTTTTTTGAATAAAAATTCTATAGAAGAAGGTAATTGTAAATCTTTAACATTCCCCTCGGTATAAAAAGAGTCGAAAATAGTTAAATCCATTCGTGAATATACTAGTGCATAATTTTTACTATCAATCACATTTCTCAGTTTATTTTCCTTATATCTTTTACTATCCGTGTTTAATAAACCTTCGTTGTTTAACCAGTCTCCAGGATTTGGAAATGAGAAACCTTTATTCAAATGATATTTTTGAAAATTATGATAAGTAAAATATATATTTTATTAATAAATATCCGCGCTCGCAACCAGTGATGGAGAGTTCTAGCTTTGGAACTGGAACAGTGGAACCGGTAAAGGTCTGGAACCGGCTTGGATGAACTGTTAAAGGTCTGGAACCGATTTGGAACTGGAACCTTGGAATCGGTAAATATCTGGAACCGGTATAGGTCTGGAACCGGCTTGGAACCGGAACCGGTAAATGTTCTACGTCACTGCTCGCAACACGATATACTCTTCTAAACATAATTGTATAAACCATTACATTCAAAAACCAAAAACAAAACTAAAAAAATTTTCGGATTTCTGTTCCAGTTACCCCATTAAACTACCTGGAATATTGTATAAATTAACATCAATTCCAAGAAATTGAAGATATTCAGGAAAGAGTACAGAAGCAGAAACATTAAAAGTATTTTCAATTCCTAAAGCCTCAAAAACAAGAAAAGGGCCAACAATAAAACAAAATTCACCAATTCCAAACGAATATTTTTGTTTAATTAACCAGTCATAAATTTCAACCATTTCCTCTCCAATTTTGATTTTTTTGTTTGAAATTATTTCTTTAAAGTTGGAGGTGATATTTAATTTTGAAATGTTTTAATATTTCTGATATATATACGTATGTTCACTAACGGTTATTAATAAGGTTGGCGGATAATTGGAGGATAAAGGGTTATCTGTACATATTTATGAATTTTTCTGAGCCATTCCATGATGGAAAATTGGGATTGCGCTCAGCCCTGAAAAATTGCGCTCACCTCTGACTGGGGCCCCCGGTTTTTGCCGGTTTTCGACCCCCGGTTTTCGATTCCGGTTCGGTTAACCGGCCGTGAACAAACCTATTTATTACCTTCATAGATTCCTATAAGAAATTTGAATGTATATCTAAATTCATTAAAAGCTTCATTAATTCCTTCTTTTTCTAACACATTTTGATCCAAATTATTTTCATTTATCGGCACATTAATAATTAAATTAACATTCTTTGGATGTACAGGATGTCCACCTACACTTCGTGTGTAAACTATTACATCCTGCAAATAAAATTTAAAATGTGGAATTTTTGTTCAAGCTTTTAAATCCTCAACAAATATTAAAAAACCTTTTGTAAATTTACTATGTAGTATTATATATTTTAATATAAATTTAATTAATCGAGAGGGGGAATTATTCGAGGGAGGGGAATTAATCGAGAAAATACGGTATTTATTCTGAAACTAACTTCTCCTGTTCACCAGGTTCCAGGGGGAGGGAGGTTTGGCTGGATTAGTCACCCGCAGAAAAATAGATAATTAATTCGGACGAAACAAGTCAATCCTTAACAATGTCTGATTCTAAGGGAACTTTAAGTAGGATTGCGATATCTGGCTCTTTTAATGATCACAAAATAATTTCTATAAGATGGATAAATTTTGGCACAAATTGCCTCCGAATTTATATGTCAATCCAACACAGGAAACATAGAACCGTCTGAATTTGCTATTTTAGGATCAAAACTTGGAACATCTTGCTTATTTGTAGTGTTCGGCACGGTACGGTATACCGCGGTATTTTTCCCGGTATACCGCGGTATTTTTTTCCGGTATACCGATACCGATACCGTATCGGTCAAATTTTGAAAAAAACGGTATTTTTCGGTATCGGTATTTTTTCGGTATACCGATACCGATACCGTACCGTTCCTCGAAAAAATACCGCGGTATTTTCCGGTATTTCGGTATTTGTGAAATTCTCAAAATTTTCGCCTGCGGCGCTGAAAAAGGAAGAAATCTGTCTTCTGGTCTTCCAAAATTCTCAATATTTTCGCCTGCGGCGCTGAAAAAGGATATATAGGGACATTCTATTAGAGGGGGCATTGTATTTTTCATTTATCCTTCTGGGGCATTCTATTAAAGGAGGGTATTCTAATGGTGGGGGCATAGTAATTTTCAATCATCCTCCAGGGGACATACTATTAAAGCAGGGTATTCTAATGGAGGGGGCATTGTATTTTTCAATTAGCTAAATGTCGAGCAATTGTTGGACATTTTGCTGATTCAAATCTTGCCTATGATCGATTAGAAGAAGCTCAAGTCCTTGAGATTGTTAAGATTTATTGTTAAAATTTTAAAAATAAAATTTAAAAAATTTTATAAAATTTTTTAAAAAATACCGAATACCGGCCGGTATACCGAAAATGTTGAGACGGTATTTTCCGGTATCGGTATTTTTCCGGTATACCGATACCGTACCGGTCAATTTTTGTAAAAAACGGTATTTTTCGGTATCGGTATTTTTTCGGTATACCGATACCGAATACCGGAAAAGGTCATTTGCCGAACACTACTTATTTGTGATTTGTTTCTTTAAATAAAAATTATATTAAATAATTACAATTTCATATTCTTCAGATAAAATGTTGGCCAATAATTCCTGAAATTTAATAAGTAATCGGAGACCTTAAAATGATTGAGTATCATAAAAACACAAATCTTCGACATAATTACACATTATATGTATATCCATATTCATGAGTTTTAAAACCTTTATCCTTGGTTTTCGGGTAATCCTAATTCTAAAAACTGTTTTCATTATAAATGTTAGTTAGATAACGGTTTTATTTTAGTGAACTTTTTTTAAACAGATTTCCAAAAATAAGCGGTTTACAGTCTATACAATTTATAAAACGTTTAGTTTTGGCAAGAAATATCAAAATTTGTAGTTTCAAAACACTTGTCAACAAATTTGGCTTTTAAATATCTACTATAGGGTCCATAACATTTCCTTATTTTCATAACCTTGACCAAAATTTTAATAAATTAAATTAATTACATTAAATTTTGTATGTGAGTAGAAAAAGTTGTCACAAATATACAACCCCCTTTTCTTTTCTTTCTCCGTCAAATTTAATTTTTCAAAATTTTTAGAGCTTGTTTCTTCTTCACAATCACTTTTTGTATTTAAACCTCGTTTGTGTCTACGGAGGGAAATTTTAGAAATTTTATTTTCCTTCCCATTTTTCGAATATTTACAACTTTTGTTAGGTTGTGAAATATTCACAAAAATTAAAATGAAAATAATGAAGAGAATTAATTTAAACATTTTCTCTAAAAGTAAAAACAAATACCTATTTTATAAAGCAACTTGTGAATGGAAAACTTTTAAATACCCCCCCCCCCCTACCACCAAGTACACACTAAATTTAAAAAAACATAAAAAAATTTAATGTTGATAGTACTATAGGAATGTTTTAGGAAAAAATTCGTCACATCCCCAATACTCCGATTCGAAAAAGCAATATTTCGTCCTAATGAGCTCCGCGAGCTAAATCTAATAAAAAAACCTACGCGAATGACAAATTTGGACAAAGTTACGACACAAAAATAAACCAAGTAAACCTTTGAGAGTCCTCATATCGCTTACTATTCCCGTTAATTTGTATTATGATTAAATTTAAAAAGCGCTTAATTTTATTTGAATTAGATAGGCCTTAAATAGACAAAATCCCTTTTAATTATTTTTTGTATATTTCATAACTTTAGATGCACTTTATATAAAAACAACCATAATTTTGCTTTGAACTTTAAGTAAACGTCAGTTTTCCTTTTTATCATTACCGACGTACATATTACATGAAATGATGTAAGAAAGTAAATAGGTAAATTAAAAAATTATTTAAATTGCGAAATACAATGAAAGGGCAAAAATGAAATTAATTGAGATGAGATTAGAAGTTCTTAAGTATTGCATAACAATCTATCCGATTGTTTCGCAAAATTTAACTAAATATTTTTAAAAAATTGTCTCATAATGCTTTATGATATTTAGCTAACTACAAATAATTCCTGCAGCCCGATAGCAGGAATTATTTGGGTCCCAAGCCCTTTTAGGACAAAACAAATAATTGAAATTTTTATTTTTTAATTGAAATTTTTACGGAGGGAAATTTTATTTTCCTTACCAATTTTAGAATATTTACAATTTTTGTGGGAAATATTTTCAAAAATTAGAATAGAGATTATGAAAAGAATTAATTTATACATTTTCTTTGAATAAGTTTGAAATATTTAGAGGAGAATTGATAAAATGAACTTTATTTTATAGGCAAAATTTGTTTATTAAATATTAAATTTTATATTTTAAAAGTTTTGTTGTACTTTTTATGAATGTACTTTTTAAAGTGATTGAGTCTACATTTAAAATTTTGTTATGAAATAATTAAGTAAAAGTGCAAGATAAATTTTTTTCTCACGATGATGTAAGAAAATAAATAAAAGCAGGGAGAATGAACTTTTAAATTGCAACGGAAGTCGAAATTAAATTTTATGAAAGAGCAAAAAATTGAATGAAT